TTGCCACGCACTTTACCCTCTCGTGTAGTATATTCCGTCTGTTTACCACTCGTTCGGAAACACGAACCGTGTATTAACGATCGTGTAAGATCATTAAGTATACGCAGTAAGATTTAGAGGTACACGGTCACCAGCACTACACAACAGCACCACACAGGGTTCGAGACCTGCCTGCAGAGGACCGAATGCTATCCCCATGCCCCCCCCGTCCTTACAATGAGTCTCCCGCCCCTCCTTCGGTCGCCAGGTCGATATCTAGTTAATGGAATTATAGAGGAAATGGAGAGAGAAAGGCACGTGAAGCTGCTTTCCGGCCATCCCTGCTGCAGGGTGTGGTTTGTGGTTGATCAAGTGATGGTTATTTCTCTCTCTCTATCTCTCTCTCTCTCTCTTTCTCTTTCTCTTTTTGTACCTTCCATTTCGTCTTTTATCCACTAACACTCTTTTTCATGTTGATCTGTGGACAGTGTGAACAACGTACAGAATAAGGACGTGAACTTTACGAATAAATACAATAAATGTCCAAACTTCTATCCTGTAAACCACACACCCCCACACACGCACACGCACGAACGCACACACGCACACAAACACACGCACACGCACACGCATACACACACGCACGCACACACACGCACGCACACACGCACACACGCACACACACACAACCCAAGTAAGGTAATGAAACTAGGCGGAGGAAATAGGAGTCCAGACACAGGATACCAAATGGGAGATGAAGTCGTTCACGAAACGGACAGAGAGAAAGATCTAGGAGTTGATTTCATGCCAAACCTGTCTCCTGAAGTCCACATCAAAAGCATAACATCAGCGGCCTATGCGAGGCTGGCTAACATCAGAAAATTTTTCAGAAACCTGTGTAAGGATTCATTCAGAACCTTGTATACCACATATGTAAGACCAATCCTGGAGTATGCGGCCCCAGCATGGAGCCCATACCTTGTCAAGCACAAGACGAAGCTGGAAAACATTCAGAGGTATGGCACTAGACTAGTCGCAGAACTAAGAGGCATGAGTTACGAGGAAAGGTTGCATGAACTGCATCTCACGTCGATGGAAGACAGAAGAGCTCGGGGAGACATGATCACCACATACTCAATTCTCAGGGGAATTGGCATGGTAAACAAGGATGGATTATTTAACACGTGTGGTACACGCACAAAGGAACACAGATGGACGCTGTGTACCCAAATGTGCCACAGAGACATTAGAAAGAACTTTTTCAGTGTCAGAGTATTTAGTAAATGGAATGCACTAGGAAGTGGTGTGGTGGAGCCTGACTCCATACACAGTTTCAAATGTAGATATGATAGAGCTCGAGAAGCTCAGGAATCTGTTCACCAGTAGATTGACGGTTGAGAGGCGGAACCAAAGAGCCGAAGCTCAAACCCCGCAAGCACAACTAGGTGAGTACAATCAGGTGAGTATTCACACACACACACACACACATGAGCTACGAGGAAAGACTAAGGGAGCAGAACTCCACGTCACTGGAAAACAGAAGAGTAAGGGAAGACATGATAACCACTTACAAAATTCTTAGGGGAATTGACAGGGTGGACAAAGACAAACTTTTTAGTACGGGTGGAACACAAACAAGGGGACACAGGTGGAAACTTAGTACCCAAATGAGATAGATACTTTCGTAAGAATTTTTTTCAGTGTCAGAGTAGTTAACAGATGGAATGCATTAGGCAGTGATGTAGTGGAGGCTGACTTCATATACAGTTTCAAATGTAGATATAATTGAGCCCAGTAGGCTCGGAAATCTGTACATCATTTAATTGTACAGATTGTACACACACACACACACACACACACACACACACAGGGGCCTCGCGGCTGAGTGGACCGCGCTCTGAGGTCGTAGTCCTAAGGGCCCAGGTTCGATCTCCGGCAGAGATCGAACCGAACAGAGATTGAAATGTTCACTAGCAGTAAATAGATACCTGGGATTTAGACAACTGCTATGGGCTGTTTCCTGTGTGTATGTCTATGTGTGTGTGTGTGTGTGTGTGTGTGTGTGCGCGCGTAAGATAAATATATGTAGTAGATATTATAATACAAATAGTAAATACACACACAGTTTGGACTCATCTAGGAGAGTACACACGCGCGCGCACACACACAGACTCATTCAACAACTTTAACGTCAAACAGCAATCCATTCCGGGTCCCATCTTTTTGGAAAGATTTTTACCCCCCTCGCTGACGACACAACAAATGGCAAAATCTAACGAACCTCGCCAAACAGACTGTCGCTGAGCTCTCAAGACAGAGCGAGACAGTCAAGTGACCATTTGAAATTTTGCGTGGCGTTCAGACCCGCCAAAGGGAAAGTACTGGGTGCGCAAGCTTGGGAACCGGTAATGTTGGGAGTCATCATCTTTAACCAGTGAGGTCTGTAGCTGTGGTCACGAACCAGTGAAGTTTGAAGCTATTGCTACGAACCAGTGACCTCTGTATCATTCTATCATTGGATTTATTTACCTTGATACTGCATAATACTCGGTAAATGGACTTCTTCTATTCAACCCAACGGTGTAAATCCGTGTAAAAAAACCCCACTTCGGTCGCTCTCCTTAATTAAAGAAAAGGTGGCTACAACCAAGGTGGTTGTAAAGTATAGTGCCTATTCCAGGATGTTGTTACACCGAGGGAACACACCCGACCACCTGCCTTCTCCCTCGCTGTGAACCAGTCCACCACCAGGTGAGCTCACTAACGACACCAATCCCTGTTACAGAAGCTGGCGAGGAATTGAAATTGAAATTGATATATAAGTTTATTGAGGTATAACCACACAAAGGGATGAGGTAGCTCAAGCAATTTTGACCCCGTTCAGTACAAAATGTTCATATATATATATATATATATATATATATATATATATATATATATATATATATATATATATATATATATATATATATATATATATATATATAGATCTGCCTCAACACTTTCATTTCATCATATTTTCGCTCCTTGTATACTTAAATAAGTAGTTTTTCTGTATTTATTTGAATAATCAGTATTTCGCAGGTCGTGGTCATGTCTCATTATGCTGCTTCTCTTCCAGTGGCTGTGGTTCAGTGTGAATTTGTAGTGTTTGTTGCATAGTTCTCTTGCAAGACCAACGGATCTCCAGTTTTCATTACTATCATCTTGTTGCACGCTTTTCCCCTAGCACACAAGTCCTCGTAAATACTGCACCGAGGACCTCACACTCTTCCATCATGCTATATTTGCTTCACCTCTTTTCTAGCGTGATGTAGTTTCCTCGAGCTCTTTTTTTTCCTGTCCATCGTATTCCAAAAGCCTCTTTTTTTTGGGTGGTGTTCTCATTCATTTAGTGAACAATGCCTTGAATGGTTCCTTGTTTACGTTCCTCTTGTGGAACGTAAACTTGTACGTTCATGTTTGTCACTGTCTACAGCCCGAGGATTTTTATTTTCTGAGGGAGCTGCTTTTAATTTACTGTGTTCTGGCCTAACGTTTTCGGCTCTTATTACCTTGCGTTTGCGATTATTCAAATTCAACAGCCATCAGTCAGATCAGTTTGTTCTCTTTTGTGTCTGTGTTCATTTGAAGCATTCAGAAATCTTCCTCGGTGTTGATTCTTCTTTAAATCATTATTTCAGATTTCGTTCCTCAGTGGAGGGTAGGGAAGGTGGCGGAGGGTAGGGAAGGTGGTGAAGGGTAGGGAAGGTGGCGGAGGGTAGGGAAGGTGGTGAAGGGTAGGGAAGGTGGTGAAGGGTAGGGAAGGTGGTGGAGGTTATGAAGGTGGTGAAGGGTAAGGAAGGTGGTTAAGGGTAGGGGAGGTGGTGAAGGGAAGGAAAAGTGATGAAGGAGAGTGAAGGTAGTGATGATAAAGTTAGTGGCAAATAGGGTATTCGCCGGCACCCAGGGAGTAAAGACAGAATAATAAAAACAGTGTGCAGTAAAGACCATTACAGTGATAACGATCATTTGTGTAGTGAGGATGGATACAGTGATGATGGATGTGAAACAGTGAAGCAGTTCCCCTCGGTCACCCTAGGCTCGCCGGGGACCTCATTTTAGGTAGCGGGTACCCCCATAAAATAAGACAATATGTGTCAGTGTAAGGAAAAAAACCCGCTCCACAATCTGCGGAAACTTCCCTCCAAACTTCACAACTTCCCCCTCAGGGAAGACCGCGACAAAGAAAATGGAGTACCAGTGAAATAATAACTCGGTTTCTGACTATATATATATTGATGAAAAAATAATTTTGAGACAATGGGGGCGACTTGAACCGGCGTTTATGGGCTTCAAGCACCCTGGAAGAAAAAACATTGTTAGGCTCTTACACCTAGAATCAGCCTCGGGTACCTTGTATGTCCTACATGCCAGTAAAAATCAATCATGCTCTGTGCAACTCAAGTTGATGCCATTTTAAGCTGTAAGAGACCCATTCTGTTCTCAAGTCTAGTACCAGGCACCAGACTGGTAAAATGACTGCTCACTATGCACACTGCTCTGCTCACTATGCACACTGCTCTGCTCACTATGCACACTGCTCTGCTCACTGTTCACACTACTCTGCACACTGCTCACACTGCAGACTGCTCACCACCTGACCACGCCTGGTGATTGCCAACCCAGAACACGTAGAGAGGCCCATAAGAAAGGTCTCCTCGGTAATGTTTCTCTTATTCACACATTTGTCCCTATTTTCTGCCTGTCTCAATTCCAGATCCAATTCTATTTTCTCAAAATATTTTCAGTAGCAAACGACTTCCCAACAACAGCTCATATATATATATATGTATGCCTAACAAGCCGAATAGTTGCCTAACAAGATGAATTTTCCACGAAATATCATATTTAGCCGTGTTAAGGATTCATAACCTGTGCGCTCAAGATGACCTGGCCATGTCGGGCGCGTAGGCGACTTAGAGCGGGCATCACCCAGCGCATCGGTTCGAATCCTCATCACGGCTCTTCCCTTGACCTACCTTGCCGAAGTGAGTGAGGCCCCTCGGGGAGTCAGGGTCCTCTAGGTCCGTCTCCTTGGCCCTAGCGCACTCGGCCCTAAAGGGAGGGAAGGAAGAGGAAGTCAGCCTCGCTTAGTAACTAACACTGCAACTTGATCAACTTGATCAACTCTGATCAACTCTGATCAACTCTAATCAACTCTGACCTTCATAATGTCAAGGGGGTTTATTCTGTCCTGTTGAATGTTCATCATTCCTTAGAAAAAAATCGTGTATTGGAGAGATAATTCGAGTATTGGGGAAAAAATTTGTGCATTAGAAGTATTATTCGTGTACTAGAAATATCATTCGTGTGTTAGAGATATAATTCATTTACTATAGAGGTGTAGGTACTCACCAGGGGGTGTGCTGCAGGTGTGGATACTGCTGCACTCAGGGGAGGTGTGCTCACAGGTGTGGGTACTCACCATGGCAGGTGTGTACTCACCATGGGTGTGTGCTGCAGGTGTGGATACTCACCAGGGGAGGGTGCTGCAGGTGTGGGTGCTCACCAGGGGGTGCTGCAGGTGTGGATACTCACCAGGGGAGGGTGCTGCAGGTGTGGGTACTCACCAGGGGAGGGTGCTGCAGGTGTGGGTACTCACCAGGGGTGTGTGCTGCAGGTGTGGATACTCACCAGGGGAGGGTGCTGCAGGTGTGGGTGCTCACCAGGGGGTGCTGCAGATGTGGGGACTCACCAGGGGGTGTGCTGCAGGTGTGGGTACTCACCAGGGGTGTGTGCTGCAGGTGTGGGGACTCACCAGGGGGTGTGCTGCAGGTGTGGGTACTCACCAGGGGTGTGTGCTGCAGGTGTGGGTACTCACCAAGGGTGTGTGCTGCAGGGGTGGGTACTCACCAAGGGTGTGTGCTGCAGGTGTGGGTACTCACCAGGGGGTGCTGCAGGTGTGGGTGAGGGTCAGGTAGCGCACTCCCAGGTCCCTCAGGGCCCTCAGGACGCCGAGGGAGTTCTGTATGGCGTGGCCGCCCTCCACGCCGATCAGGCTGGCGATGCGTCCCTCCTTGAACGCTGCTTCCACCTCTGACGCAAACAAACACCTGCCTTAGTCTCCACCTCTGACGCAAACAAACACCTGCCTTAGTCTCCACCTCTGACGCAAACAAACACCTGCCTTAGTCTCCACCTCTGACGCAAACAAACACCTGCCTTAGTCTCCACCTCTGACGCAAACAAACACCTGCCTTAGTCTCCACCTCTGACGCAAAATACCACTACCTTGACCTTAACCTTTGACGCAAACATATACAACGGTCTCTTTAAATATACGCAAACAAATTATGGCTTATAGTCTCCTCTGACGCAAACACCTATCTTCATCTCTACTGTTTCATCCTCCCCCCCATGGTGGTGCCGTTAGGGTTATGTACCCATGGTGGCAGTACCCATGGTGGCAGTACCCATGGTGAGAGTACCCATGGTGGTAGGTGGTACCCATGGTCCAGGATATCTTAGTTGTGGTATATACTCGTTATCGAGAGCTTCAACAAACTTTTCCAGATCGTGTTCAGTTTTGCAAAACACACCGCGGAGCTTCTGCAAAAATAAATGGTTGCTTGAATAAATCCACAAGGGGCCGTGACGAGGTTCGAACCCTCGTCACGGCCCTTGTGGATTTGTTCATTTAATGCTTCACGCTATTGTGATTTCTGTGTGTAAATGGTCGCTTGTTTCCCCGAGACGAGGTTTGTTATGTGGTAAGGTTCGTTATTAATGTTCGTCTCAGTGTCTCTGGCGAGAGCTTAAAATGGGAATTCTGAGCTCTGAGAACCAGATATTTTTTTTGTACTGTTCATCGTTCGTCTTGGATTCTTTGTTGCGTGTGTACTTAGAAGGCCTGGTCGAGGACCGGGCCGCGGGGACGTCGAGACCCGAAATCATCGCAAGGTAAGGTACGCCGATTTATAACTTTCTCTCCTGACGCCTCTCAGACCTCACCTGTCTTTCCAGCTTTCACCTGCGTCCTCTGCTCCTATGCTGATTCTCATTGTTTGAGAATTGCTTCTTTATTTCCAATTTAATTACCTTTAATATCGTGTACGTTATTACCATATCTCCTATGTCTATGTCTGTGTTAGGTACTCAGCTAGTTGTGCTTACGTGGGGGTTGAGCTTTGGCTCTTGGGTCCCAGCGTGTAGACTTATGTATGTCAGTGTTTCTTTGTGGATGCCATTCTTGGCTTTGCCCCAGTCACGTGCCACAGGTGGAAGAGTCATCACTTTGACTTCAACTGCTGGAACTGAAGTGAAGGAACAACATCCACGTGCTGGCGCTGAATTCAGCAAATACAAGAGTCCACTTGTGAGTGAGCAAAAAAAAAGATATAATCTCGATCCAGTGGGATTATACGCGGCTCCATAGTCCTGGAAACTGCGAGGCAGCAGATAACATTCATGGACGATCATGGGAATATCGACTTGTATATCTCGCCTACCAGGAACAGTGACTCTCCTTACATACCTCATCAACCTGGCACAGTGACTCTCCTTACAAGCCTTATCTACCTGGAGCAGTGACTCCAGGAGAAGGCTCATTCACCGACTCGATCATACAGTCCCAGGTAATCGACTGCGATTCACATCGCTAATCACTGCTGACATGACGTCGTTGCAATTGGGTCATGGAAAAGAGAGCTGTACACTTTAATTTAAGTCAAAGGAGCACACACAGAGGGGCTGTCATTCACACTAATCAGATAGTTTGGCTTCGACGTGACTGATATACGGTTCCTTTAGGGAGGAAAAGTTTTTTTTTCAACTCCAGGGGAACTTCTAATTGTATACGATCACTGTTGCACGGTACACTGTGACACAGTAGCAGGCACGGTACACTGTGACACAGTAGCAGGCACGGTACACTGTGACACAGTAGCAGGCACGGTACACTGTGACACAGTAGCAGGCACGGTACACTCTGGAGGGGCTTTACGTGGACGTCTCGACTGAGCTGCAGATCACGGTACTTGTCACTTACGGTGATGAAACAACTGCAGTGAATTATATGTCATGTTCGACAGAGCTCTTAACACGACTTTAAACATTTGTTAACCACACACAAACACACACACGCACACACACACACTCACGCCCGCGCACACACAAACACACACTTAAATCGCACGCTTCTTGTGAAACAAACAGTGCTTTTAAGCGACATACTCGTAAACAGGTGCACTGACCGATCTCACAAGACATGTGTCATTCACCGCTACTGGAAGAAAAAGTTGGCCGAGGTCGCCTGCCATACCACAGAGTCATGAAGATAGAGCACTCTATCGTGGGCTCTATAGCCACACGCACTGGTAAGTAGGTATAAGCTCTAGGTTGACCAGACCACACACTAGAAGGTGAAGGGACGACGACGTTTCGGTCCGTCCTGGACCTTCCCACAATCGACTTGAGAATGGTCCAGGACGGACCGAAACGTCGTCGTCCCTTCACCTTCTAGTGTGTGGTCTGGTCAACATACTTCAGCCACGTTATTGTGACTCATCGCCTGCAAGCTCTAGGTGCAATTTACAGATCTTTCAGTGGTTGACTCTTGTTACAGCAAAGGCTGTTTGGCCAGAGGATACAGCTTGTTACAAGCACCTTGGACGGTCATAGAATGAGGCTGGTTGGTGGTTAGTAGGAGCGGGTTCTCGTGTGTTTGTTCTTAGTGGTTGGGGAGCGTTCTCGCATGGTTGCTCTCTCATGGGCAACCAATCGACCTTCAGTTTCTGGTAGATGTCAAATGAGTGAATTCTCTAATTGGCTTCCATTAACCCAACGATTTCAGGAAACTAACCTCTACCTCTATTACTGTTGCATCAATAGCTGCTTCTACCATCAACACTCCCCCCACCCCTCATCAATTACCAACAGTCCATCATCTACCCAAGTACATACTAATCATCTACAGTACACCCTAATTATCTACTATAGTACACCCTAATCATCTACCACCAGTACACCCTAATCATCTACAGTACACCCTAATCATCTACCACCAGTACACCCTAATCATCTACTACAGTACACCCTATCCATCTACCACCAGTACACCCTAATCATCTACCACCAGTACACCCGAATCATCTACCATTCCATCAGCACCCTTCAGAAAGGACCTCAAGCAGAGACGGTAAGCCTCCTCGTTAACAATAGACCAATCACCGCCCTGACGCCTATTTGCACCGGTAATTGCCTTGTTCGAGGCCATTTGGTCTGACCGTTAATAAGACTGACAGCAGTGCCTCACGGGGAAGCAATTCTCTTCTCACGTACATTGCGGATTTTTGTTATTTTTTTTTGTCACTGAAATATTGTTTTGCCATTATGAAAGGACAGTAAATCGGTGTAGATTTTTCTTGTCATAGAGCCTGTCGTGTTGAACGGAACGCGACCCCGTGTTGAACGGAACGCGACCCCGTGTTGAACGGAACGCGACCCGCTTAAAACGCAAAGTTTTGGAAATCATCCGCTATGATTCATTTTTTATGAACCAAAAAAATCAATCTGCGGCCAGATTCACGAAGTATTTACGTAAGCACTAACGGACCTGTACATCTTTCCTCAATCTTCGGCGGCTTTGTTTATAATTATTGAACAGTTAATTTGCTCCGACGCACCAGGAGGCTGTTTAAAAAATCACAACAGTTGATTGGGAAGTTGTCATGCTTGTAAAATATTTGATAAGTGTAACCAAAGCCGTCAAAGATTGAGGAAAGGTGTACATGTCCGTAAGTTCTTGCGTTACTGCTTCGTGAATTTGGTCTCTGAGCACCGCGCTCACTCGTTCCGTTAACACTGATGACTCCGAACACCGTTCGGAGTGATAGAAGTCCGAACACCACTCGAACGTAGTGGTGAAAGGGCGTGAAAGCCCACCACCACGATACGGTATAAGTAACGTAAGTATAAGTAACTTAACCGAGGATATTCACCTGAATCCCGCTATAGGAGTCTCGAAGCATCGAACCGATGCCAAATGAAGTGTTTACACACACACACATTACCCGTGTGTTTAGGAGGTTCAAGTCACCGCGCTGTTCCAGATGAAATTCTCATAGATATATATCACATTATTTTGGCTTGACCATTCCTTTTCCCCACCGTCCCATCCCACAATCCTGACCCCTTCCAAAGGCTGAAACACTAAGCATCACAACAAGGCTAGAACCAACCAATCAACGCTATACCAAGACATTATAAACGAGAAAACACTGAGGCTCTGTCGTGAACCATTCTCAGGGCAAGAGGGGCAGGCAGGCAAGCAGAGTAACACAGAGTGTGAGAGGTCAACACTGGGGGGAAGGACCGCGAGAGTGAGGGGTCAGGAGAGGGCAAACAGAGGGACGAGGAGTATAGACGGAAATAAATAATGTCAACATTGTATATAAGGGAAATTAGGACATTTCAGCCGGTCGGAGAAGATGGCGAGGGAGTTAAGGGTGGTGGTGGAGATGTCCGGAGGAAAATGTGAATCGGGTTAGATTGAGAGAGAGAGAGACTTGCGACGGTGAAAACTTTTATCCCTGAGCTGAAAGTAATAGATGCGGAGGTCTTGGAAGACGAGAGAATTAAGTACTACTTTCGTAACAAGACAATGATGGTCGAAAAGGCTTTTAGTGAAGATACACTGTGTAACAGCTGCTTTTCTATGTTTACGACAACATCGAAGTCTTCCGGGATCAGGCAGTGTAGCCCACCACCAGAGGGCAGACTAAGGAAGCTAGAAGTCCAACACAAGAAGCTTTAAGAAGTCTACTGGAAGAGCTAGTTACATCAACACCTGAAGGAGATAACTCAAGATCTATTCATACCTGTTGATGCAATCTTCACCTCATCGCTAATAAAAATGGTGAACTGCCAGAGATATGGAAAACAGCCAGTGTGGTAAATAGAGCTGCTTAACTACACACTCGTGTTACTCTTCTGTTTTAAGTATGTCACCGGCCTAACAAGGCCTTAGACTCCTTCAGTTTCATATTTGCAAATCATTCGATAATGAGAAGAATTAACACACAGGAGGACTTAGGGAG